CTACGTCCACTACCTTAGCTCCTCACCAAGGATTTTCCAATAAATTCACTAATTTGTTCTTTCTTTTGAGGACAAAGAGATAACCTTACAACTCCCTAGTTTTTCCGGGCTAAACTAAAACATTTCCCCTTTACAAAAGGATAAGAAATGTAAACAAGAAAACCTCCCTAAGGTAGGTGTTTACAAGAATTAAGCTCACAAGAACAAAATATTTACAAGAGAAAGATGAAATAAGAATGAAAAACTCTTTTCTTGTGTTTGATTGCTTGGATAGTTGTTCTCTTACTTCTTCAAGTGTCCTTAGCTTGTATTTATAGCTTGGAATATGTTTGATGTCGTATATAACCGTTAGGGATGTTTTGGAGCCGTTTGGGGATGATTTTTCTACTAAAAAAGGATGCTCATAACATGGTGCATCGATACCCCTTCATTAAATTCAAATAAACTAGTCGTTGCAGCCTTGGTGCATGGATGCACAACAAGGTGCATCGATGCACTAATTGCATTCGAAATGGAGTGCATGGATGCACTACATGGTGCATCGATGCACTAGTGGCAGGTGCATGGATGCACTAGTGGCAGGTGCATGGATGGACTGCAAGGGTGCATGGATGCACTTTAACACCCTTTAGCATTTTTGCTCAAATCCGAATTTAATGGACTTTGAATTATTTTTGAAACCTTTTTAAAACTTTGAATAATTCAATTCAAGTCCAAAAACATTTTGCCTTTAAATTTGTTATATCGAAACATAATTCAACAATCTTCCCCTTTTTGATATAACAAAGCATTTGAAAAATTGTTTTTGGCAAAACTCCCCCTTAATAAAATGTTTAATGAAAAAGATACCAATTGTTACCAATTGTTTGAAAATATATGAAAATGTTAAGCTCCCCATTTTCATTAAGAAATTGAATTTTTCAAACCAAACTTCTCTCACTTTTTGTTATATAAAAAATAATTCAATCTTTGAAGTTCAAAATAACTTTGGAGAGTAAGTAGTAAATTTGACATTTTAAAACATATTTGAAAAATCAAAGCTCCCCCTCAATAAATGCATTCCAAACAAAATTTAGCTTTAAGAACTTGACACTTAAACAAAATTGAATTTCGACAATGAATAACAAACATGTTAGTAGTACATGAAATTCAATATATCCAAGTCTAAAATACTTTATGCAATATTAATTATTGAAATTAAGTACATATGCATAAAGTTTTCCAAAAATGTTATGCATTTGAAAATTTTGATATCAATTGTTAGAGAGATATCATTTTCATTTAAATCACATGCATAAACATTTAAATTTAAGTCAAAAATTTAAAATTTGTAAAATCAAAGTTTTTGAAAAATTGATATCAATTGTTAGAGAGATATCATTTGCATTAAAACCAATTTTGACCAAAATTTTATTATGATGAACTAAAAATTAAAAAAAAAATCATTAAAAATTTAAAATGTTCATCATAGCCAATTTTTTAACATACATGAGATTAAAAACAATGCATAATCATTTAAAATCAAAACTCATGCATGCATAAATCCTATGAGCAACCAAATAACTAAAATTAAAAACATTAAGCTTAGAGGTTACCCATTCCTTTTCATGTGTGGCTAGAGCATCTTGAATATCATCATTGCTCCCACACACCTACAAGAGACATTTAAGTAGATTTTGGTATCCAAATTGCTTTGGATCCTTGAACGTTAGTTTTAATGCCCCTTGTTCCTTTCGGAACCCATACTTGTCTAATTTTAAAACGTTTTCCTTTCTTCAAAGGAAAAGTATGTTCCATATGGCCATGATAATGGCAATGTGAGCATTTTGCCATATTTAAACATAATAGTTTGTTTTTAGAAATTAATTCTTTTTCTTTTATTAAGCTTTCAAGCTTAACTCCTAACTCAAAATTTTCTTTTTCTAAATCATTTATTTTGATTTTTGAAAGCTCTAAATTATTTTTCAAAATTTCATTTTGATTTTCAAAATCAACTTTTGCTTTCAAAATCAAATTATCTTTAATTTTGAGTTTTGAAATTAATTTAGTATATTTGGAATTCATGGTCTCAAATCCCAAATACAAGCTATTATAAGCATCTTGTAACTCATCAAAAATAAATGAATTAAATTCATTTGAGTTAGAAGATACCTCAACTTCTTCTTGAGTGGTCATAAGGCATAAGTTGACTACTTCATCTTCATCATTGGAATCATCTTCATCACTCCAAGATGCAACAAATGCATTCTTCTTGGTCGATCCCTTTTTCTTTAGAAGAGGACATTCATACTTGACATGTCCCTTTCTTTGACAATTGAAGCACACCGGGGGACTCTTCTTCTTGGTTGATTCATGTTTCACTTCCTTGGAAATCATGAATCTCTTGAGTTCCTTTAAGAGCTTGATCATCTCTTCTTCTTGTTCATCATCGTCTTCATCCGCCTCATCACTTGAATCTTGATAGCTTTCATTGGTGGATTTGAAGGCAATGCCTACCTCATCCTTCTTCTTATTCTTCTTATTTTTCTTCTCTTAATCTTCCTTCACCATCATCTCCTGAGTGAGAAGGGAACCAATTAGCTCGTCGAGAGTGAGAGACTTTAGGTTTCTTGCTTCGATAATGGTCGTCTTCTTTGATTGCTACTTATTTGGAAGAGAGTAGATCATCTTCTTCACAAGCTTCTCATTTGAGATTACTTCTCCATATCCCTTGAGACTGTTGACAATCACGAAAAATCTATCCGTCATAGCTTTGATGTCTTCATCGGGTTTCATCTTGAAGTTCTCGTAGCTATGGTTGAGAAAACTTTTCTTTGATTCCCTCACTTCGTCGGTTCCTTCATGAGTGACTTGGAGCTTATCCCAAATCTCTTTGGAACTGGAACAAGATGAGATTCTTCCATATTCATTTGAGCCTAAAGCACATAATAGAATATGTATAGCCTTAGAATTAAGCTGAAAATTTTTCTGCTCTTCTCTACTCCAATCGTTGTACTTACCGGGTGGAGAGGAGCAACCGTCCATGATTGAGTTCCAAGCTCCTAGATTGTAGGATTGAATAAAGTATATCATCTTATTCTTCCAATGTGCATAATTTTCTCCATTTAAGAAGGGTGACTTGTTGAACTATTGTGAATCCATAATAGGATATTCTTCAAGATAATAAGCACCGGAGTAAAAAGTCATTTCTTTGTCGGTTGCGTCGAAAATTGTGGTAGAGCTTCTTCGAGTATCGTCTCAAGATGGTTAAACCTTCTTAACGAGTTAGGCTCTGATGCCAATTGTTGGGATTTTCGTAAGCTCGAATCGACAACCGGAATGGTTTTGTGTTTAGGGAGTAAGGAGATTGAAATTAGAGAATTGTACACCGATTTATAGTGGTTCGACTTTCTCAACCAAAGTCTACGTCTACTACCTTAGCTCCTCACCAAGGATTTTCCAATAAATTCACTAATTTGTTCTTTCTTTTGAGGACAAAGAGATAACCTTACAACTCCCTAGTTTTTCTGGGCTAAACTAGAACCTTTCCCCTTTACAAAAAGATAAGAAATGTAAACAAGAAAACCTCTCTAAGGTAGGTGTTTACAAGAATTAAGCTCACAATAACAAAATATTTACAAGAGAAATATGAAATAAGAATGAAAAACTCTTCTCTTGTGTTTGATTGCTTGGATAGTTGTTCTCTTACTTCTTCAAGTGTCCTTAGCTTGTATTTATAGATTGGAATGTGTTTGATGTCGTATATAACCGTTGGGGATGTTTTGGAGCCATTTGGGAATGATTTTTCTACTCAAAAAGGCTGCCCATAACATGGTGCATCGGTGCACTATCAAGGTGCATCAATACCCCTTCATTAAATTCAAATAAACTAGTCGTTGCAGCATTGGTGCATGGATGCACAGCAGGGTGCATCGATGCACTAATTGCATTCGAAATGGAGTGCATGGATGCACTACTACAGGGGTGCATGGATGCACTTTGACACCCTTTAGCATTTTTGCTCAAATCCGAATTTAATGGACTTTGAATTATTTTTGAAACCTTTTTAAAACTTTGAATAAATTCAATTCAAGTCCAAAAATATTTTTCCTTTAAATTTGTTATATCGAAACATTATTCAACATGAAAAGTATCAAATCTTATATTTTAAAATATTATAACGTCGATCAAATTCTAATATTATTTAACAACTCTATTTAAAATAGATTAATTCAATAAAATCAAATTCCCACTAAAATTTTCTTCAAATATATAATGAATATATAATAAAATATAAAAATTTTACTCTAACCGAGATATAAACATGTCAATGCATAAGTTAAAATGGTTACTACTATAAACCCTCAACTATCAGGAAAATTCTAAGTCAATAAAACTCTTCGTTATATTTTAATTATAATATATTAAAATTATTTTTAATTTAATTTTCATTAAAATGATTTAAAATATAAATAAAATATATTCACATATTAATTAATTATAATATTTGTGTATATATATCATATTATCATATTATTCAATTATTTCATATTAGAATTCTTATTAGGTCATTTTACTTTTTTTATTGCCATTAACTATATATTATGTCGTGATAGGTTTATTATTTGAATGGTGTAGCCTAGTGGTTGGAGAGTTTGCTTCCTCTCCTCACGTCTTGAGTTTAAATCTTACTCAACAGTTATTGATTTAATTTATTTTCTATTTATTCAATTTATTAAAATAATTTATTTTTATTCATTCAATTTATGACACACGGTATATAATTCAAAGGCGGACCCATAATAAAAATTTAAGGGTTGCATTAGCCCCATGGGCATATTTTAAAAACAGTTTTGAGTTTGATACAACCTTGGACCCCAGAAAATCTGAAGCGCCTTCCTCATCAAAACCCTTTTTCAGCACAGCATCGAACCAGACATCAACAAGCTAACTTATGCATCCTTAACCCCTTTTTTATTCCAGCTTGAAGCTCACTTCATTCACCATTCTTCGACCCGAAAATGGCAAATCTCATGCATAAACTCTTCAAAAACAAATCCACTCAAAGGCTCATCGTCACTTTGAAATCCCCACAACAACTCCCTACACTCACTCCTTCGCTTATTCCCCACCACGTTTCATTAACCAAACCAGATTCCCTTAATGAACCAAGTTTTTTCCTCAATCCCAAAATCCTAAAAGATTGCAACTTTACTCAACCTTTGAAGTTTTACCCCAATTTCCCATTTGGGTATTTATTGAATCCCATCGGCTCAACTGGGTTTGACCCATTAATGGCAATGGAGATAGAGGAGGGGACAACAGAGACCGAAGATGATGCTGGAAAACTTTGGGCTGATAGTGTGAAGAAAAAGAGGAAGAAGAAGATGAACAAGCACAAGTACAAGAAGCTGAGGAAGCGTCTGAGAAGAAAGACATAGGCTTTCTCTATGATGGCGAGAATTTCATGGGGGAAGTTGTATTATTTCCTTTGATTTTTTTTCTTAAAAGATTTTGGAATTTGTTGATGGACAAATCTTGATTTAATGAATTTGATATCTTTTGGCGTTAATTAGCTGGATTAAAACACAAAATTAACATGAGCTTTGCTTGTTTTCTTGTGTTGGGAGTTTACTTGGTTGTCTAAATTATCAACTTTTGAATGAAATGAGTGTTGCTATGGTAAAGATGTTTAGATATTCACTGGGAAAGTGCAAGAAGTTTATACAAGGCAAAGTCATTCTCAGATGTTGTTTTCTGATGCTTTTAGTTGTATGAGGGTCTTGAGTTGATTTCAATTCTTTATACGGTTCTCACTCACGTTGATTTACATATATTCATTGTGACAATAATATTCTGTTGTCAATTATCGATTTTTGAATGAAGTGTTGCTTTGGTAAGGATGTTTAAATGTTCACTGGAAAAGAGCAAGAAGAGTATATGAAGCAAAATAATTCTCATTTATTGTTGTTTTCTCGAGTGTCTTGAGCTGATGTCCATTCATGATATGGATCTCACCCACTTTGGTTTTCATACATTCTGTATGACACTGGTATTCTGTTGTTGAATCATCGACTTTTGGAAGAAATGTCTGGTGTTATGGAAAGGATGTTTAGTTGTTCTCTAGGAAAGAGCAAGAAGTTTATACAAGGCAAAACCATTCTCAGATGTTAGTGTTTTCTGATATTTTTTTTCATAATTTGAGGGGCTCGAGTTGATGTCAATTGTTTATACGAACCTCAGTTGCTTTGATTTGCATGTGTTCTTTGTGACAGAGACACTGGTAATTGTCAAATTATGAACTTTTGAATGAACTGAATGTTCAGATGTTCATAGGAAAAGAGCCAAATGTTAATAACTTGCAAAGTCAGTCTCAACTATTGTTGTTTTCTGATATTTTTCTTGTTGATCTCAAACATTGTATTTAGTTCAGTTTGTATATCTGCGGAATCATCATCTCAAATGTTGTTGTTTTCCGATATTTTTCATAGTACGAGGGTCTTGAGTTGATGTTCATGCTTTATACATATCTCACTCGCTTATATTTACATATGTACTCTATGTCACTGATATTCTGTTGTGTGTTGCTATGACAAGGATGTCCAGACGTTCACTAGGAAACAGCAACGAGAGTACAGGAGGCAAAACTGTTCTCAAATGTTGTTGTTGTCTGATGTTTTCTGTAATGCAAGGCTCTTGAGTTGATGTTCATACTTTATACAGATCTCACTCGCATAGATTTACACATGTACTTTATGTCACCGGTATTCTGCTGCTGTATGTTGCTGTTGCGAGGATGTCTAGACATTCACTAGGAAACAGCAACGAGAGTATAAGAGGCAAAACTGTTCTCGAATGTTGTCATTGTCTGATCATTTTTGCAATTCAAGGCTCTGGAGTAGATGTCCACTCTTTGTACCGATCACACGTTGTTTTACATATATTCTGTGTCACTGATATTCTGTTGTCGAGTTTTCAATTTTCAAATGAAGTGTTGCTATGGCAAGGATGTTTAGGTATTCATTGGAAAGAATATCCTTAGAAAAAGCTTAGAATATCTTTAGATCAGATGGAAAGAATGGACCGGTCACGGAGAAGTGATGAATACCATGAAAAGCCGAGTAGAAGCAGCGATCAACAGTAATATTGATCAGTCAAAGTTGTTTTAGAATTTGTAAGTTGTTCTTCATAGACCCAGGTTAACAGTGTGGATTAGGGTAGGGTAAAACTCGATCGAACTTGGAAAAAGTGATTTTTTTTTTAATTTCGAGTTATTTAAATCAATTCAAATTAGTGAGTTGGTCTTCGAGTTCAAGTTGAGTTTAGATTTTATCGATTTGAAAATCTGAATTTCAAAATAGACTTTTTTTTATCTTTAGTTAAGTAATTTGATTGTTTTGTTACTTATTCCCTAATTTTCTTATTTTTTTCTTTCGTTTGTAGTTAATTTTTTTATCAAATTTAAACTGTTTGCGCTTAAACCATTTTAGGATACATAGTTCTAATTCTTTTTTTGAAAATATTTTTTAATTTAATCCTTCAACTTTATATGTTTTTTTTTATTTTTTTAATTCAATTTATTATTATTATTATTATTATTATTATTGAATTGCACTCTCCTCAAAGTATAAAATATCCATGTAACTTAAATTATTATTTTTAACAACAAAGTTCTTGTTTTTTTATATAGTCTTTAACTTTTTATTTTATTCAATTTGATCCTTTGATTGTAAATTTTACAAATTATTCCTTCCTATCAATTTTATGACTCCTTTATACTCTCATCGATGTTGTCTTTAAAATCTCTCTTTAAGAAACAACATTATAAATGTATCTTATAATTTTAGATGATATTTGATTTATTAAGTAATATTACAAAATTTACTTACACATATAAAAAAGAATATGATGAAATATATATATATATATATATATATATATATATATATTATAGGGTTAGAGAAAACCAATTAAATTGGAATAAATTTGTACCATATTATTATTCTAATTAAATTTAAACATCAATTTAAAAAAGTTAGCTCGACTTGACTTGAATTTTATAAAACTAAACTTTTAAATAATTTGAATAATAAAATATGACTTATCAATTTGATTGTTTTACAAGATTTGATCAAATACTCACCCTACATAGATGGTAAAATATTTGTTGAAACATTGATTGTGTCTTGCTATACTGATTTTGGACATTGAGATTTGAGAAACAAAGTTGAAACCAATGGCTAGAATTGTTTAGGGTTCATCCTTAGGATAGAATGAAAGTTGTATTGGATTAGAGGGAAAGTCCTTGACATGGTATGAAGCTTCCACTGTAATACCACCATGTCTTTCATTTGTCTCTAGTGGTAACTTCTTTCTTTATATTTTGAATATATATCCATGTTAAATATATACTTATATTTGACATTCGCCTAGGATCTAAATGTTTATGGTTACATATTGTTGTTATCACTTGATATCTTGGGTTCGAGTACCGCATATGCAGAGATATAATCATTATTCGTCAAATGGTTGAGAGTCTTTGAATATATACTACCTTATACTTGCCTTAGATTTATCAAAACAATAAAAAAAACATTAGTGTGTCCTTTTGTTTTTGGGCTTTGGTTCCCCTACCACTAGAGGATAGCAAGACTTTAGGGGTAACTCTTTTTGCTGTTTTGGGGCAGCTTTGTTGAGGGCGTTACTTAACGGCCAATAACTACCCAACTGTGGAATCCCATGGAACGTGAAATCAGGAAGTTGATTGGTCGCACAAGACATTGAAGTATGCATTTAGTCTTTTTATAAGTCGCCCTTTCCTCTCTCAAATTCACCTCTCCCGACAAAAAGAAAATGGCAATTCCTTTACTTTCTCTTTTCTTCTTCACCTCTCTTCCTTTCATTTCCCCATCCCTAGTTAAAGACCCTGAGCTCATAGTTCAAGATCTTTACAGGTAAATAACTGGTTTCGTGTTGTATTTATCGCAATGACGAAGGTAACATATGCTATATTGTTGTTTTCTTTTTGGCAGGGCCATTAATGTCTCTAGGAGGAGCCTTAGGCATGCCTCTTGTGGCACTGGAAACCCTATAGATGACTGCTGGAGATGTGACTCTCACTGGTGGAAGAATCGACGAAGGCTAGCCAATTGTGCAATTGGGTTCGGAAAGAATGCCATCGGTGGAAGAGATGGTAAACTATACATTGTCACCGATTCCAGCGATGATGATCCTGTAAACCCTAAACCCGAAACTTTAAGACACGCTGTGATCCAAGACGAACCGTTGTGGATCATTTTCGCTCGTGATATGACCATAAAATTGAAAGAAGAACTCATCATGAACTCTTTCAAGACAATCGATGGACGAGGTGCCGATGTTCACATCGCCGGGGGTCCGTGCATTACCATCCAGTTTGTCACCAACATTATTATCCATGGATTGAACATTCATGATTGTAAACAAGGAGGGAATGCTATGGTGAGGGACTCCCCTCGACACTACGGTTGGCGGACCACATCAGACGGTGACGGGATTTCCATATTTGGCGGTAGTCATATTTGGGTGGATCATAACTCTTTATCAAACTGCAAGGATGGACTGATTGATGCCATTTACGGGTCCACTGCCATCACCATATCAAATAACTACATGAGTCACCATGATAAAGTCATGTTGTTAGGGCACAGTGATTTCTACACTCGAGACAAGAACATGCAAGTCACTATAGCTTTTAACCACTTTGGTGAAGGGCTTGTCCAAAGAATGCCAAGGTAACATAAAACTAGTCGTATATTTACTCGAACCCGAATAGGTTATAATTGTATAGTTCGCATTTTCAGGTGTAGACATGGTTATTTCCATGTGGTGAACAATGATTACACCCATTGGAAAATGTATGCTATAGGAGGGAGTGCTAATCCAACCATCAATAGCCAGGGGAATAGATTTACTGCACCAAATAACATATTCAGCAAAGAGGTGACCAAGCATGAAGATGCACCGAAGAGCGAATGGAAGCGATGGAATTGGAGATCAAAAGACGACCTAATGATGAATGGCGCGTTTTTCACACCGTCGGGTGCCATTGTGTCATCGAGTTACGCCCAGGCCTCTAGCTTGGGTGCTAGGCCATCATCACATGTCGCTACGATAACGACCGATGCCGGTGCTCTCAATTGTAAGAAAAACTCTTATTGTTGACGAAAGAGATTACGGGTACTAAAATTTAAGGCCGAAATATATCGAATACGATCACTGAGTTTGTAGTTTTTTTTAATAACCTCAGCTTGATGCTCTTATAACATCAAAGACTTTCTTGTATCTTTTATCTCTTTCTTTCTCCCATAAATCCCTTGGGAGAACCATGAGAAAAGGACACTAGACAATGTCGACACAAAAGACAATGGAAATCAACAATTCCAAGTAGTTTTGAATTGATTTGAGTAGGAAAGTTCACCAACGCAAAACTGTAGTTACAAATAATGCTAAAAATAATTATTTTAATATAAATATCAGCATTTGAATTCTAGTTAAATAACACATTATTTGTTAGATAACTAAAAATTCATTAAATCAAATTTATTTCACTTCGAATACATTATCCATAACAATAAAATAAATTTTATAATTTATTAGCATAAACGGGTTTAGATTATAATTTTATAGTTAATTGACCTGAAAATCTTTAAATTTTAACCTACATTTTGAATTACTTCTTAAGAATATTTTGTCAATCCTTAACCTATCATAAGTATCAATTTAGAATTAAGTCATGATTAAGACACGTGTATATTTTGTTGTTAATTTCTTTTGTCCCTTAATCCCATTTATTATTCATTTTATTTTTATAACTAATAATTTAAGTTATAATTTATATTTGATATGACCCGCTGCCTTTTAATATGTTTTGGGTAAATTAGTTCTGCGATACTCCTAGCTTTTAGACAGTTTATTTTGGTCCACTACTATGTTGACTAGACATGGGGCTAACACGTCCTCTGAATGGTCCTCTATCACGAGAACCAAAGGGGTCGACTTTTAGGATCGAGCCAGAGTGCCATGCCACATTCATATTAGTTTGTCCACGTCGATGACATAACATACATTGATAATATAGTCACTTGAGATTGTATTTAATGTATTATGTATACGAGTAGTATTCATGATTTAGTATTAATATTTTAAATATATAATATTATTCTAAATATTCATGTTGAAAAGTTCAAAAATAATTTACAAAAATCAAACCGTAAATCATTTTTTAAAAGAGAATATAATTTCAGTGTCCGAAAATGTCTTAAAATATACGATTTTAATCAATTTTTTGGATTTACAAAAATAAACAACAAATTCGCAATACGAACTCTTATTTCGCAACACAGTTTCCAAATTCGCAACTCGAACATAGAAATTTTCGCAACGCTAATTACCGATATAGGTAAACATGACTATTCGCAATGTGAATTTGGAATTCACAACTCGAACATGGAAATTTCGCAATGCGAATTTCGTTTTCGTAACTCTAATTACCGATATAGGTAATACAACTATTCGCAACTCAAACATGGAAATTTTCGCAATGCGAATTTTAAAACTGAGTTGCGAATTTGATAAATTCGTGTTGCGAAATGTAAAATCTCACCTCTTAAAGAAAAAATAATTTTGACAGTTCGTTTGTTTGGTTAAAGTTAAACGAACAAACGAACATGAACATACCCTCGTTCGTGTTTGTTCAATTCATTTACAGGCGTAGGTTTAGCTAAGTGATTCATACGTGGACTTAGCAGCATCCCTTTTTTCTTGAAGAGGCGAGATTTTACATTTCGCAACACGAATTTGCCAAATTCGCAACTCAGTTTTCAAATTGTCGAATTCGAATTTTTTACTAGATTTTTTCTACTGTTTTTACCTATCGGTAATTGAGTTGTGAAATTGGCGAATTCGATTTGTGAAATTCACGTTGCGAATAGTTGTGTTTACCTATATCGGTAATTAGCGTTGCGAAAATTTCCATGTTTGAGTTGCGAATTCCAAATTCGCGTTGCGAATAGCTGTGTTTACCTATATCGGTAATTCGTGTTGCAAAAATTTTCATGTTCGAGTTGCGAATTTGGAAACTGTGTTATGAAACAGGAGTTCGCGTTACGAATTTGTTGGTTATTTTTGCAAATCCGAAAAAATTAAGTAAAATCGTATATTACAAGGCATTTTCGATCACTGAAGTTATTTTCTCTTTTTAAAAAATACAAATGAAATTCCATCGACCAAAAAAAAGTAATTACATTGTTAAATAAGTTTTTCACCAATTAAATACTAAAAAATGGGAAAACGTTTTCCGAAAAAATTAATAAGATAGACATATCCAACCTTTTCGGCTATTGGAATTTTTTAGGAAAAAGAGGACTACTTTTATTTGTTTATTTATTCTAAATTTGAAGTATCTATTAGGAGTGTTCATTCGATTAAAACAATGATCGACCGAACCGAATTATCATTAATCAAATTAATCAAAAAAATTTTCTTTAACCATTAATCGAACCAGACTTTTTTTGAAAATATTAACAGAATCGAATAAATTTCGGTTAATTTAGTTAATTTTTGAATTAACTGAAATTTTTAAAATTTTTCTAATTTATATAAAATTTGAATATTTTTTAATTAAAAAACAATTTATAATTAATTTAAATAATATAATTATAAAATAAAAATTTTATATGGATTTTTTTAATTAATTAATATTGATTAGGTTTAAAAATATTGAATATTAAATTATTAATTAATTTCTAAATGGTTTGGGCTACGCTCATATATTATACATAATATTTAAAATTTAATTTCGGTTAATTTGGTTAATTAATCGATTTCGAACAGCATTAATCGTTAACCAAATTATAAAAAAATTATTAACCGTTCCCCGACCGAACTAATTCGGTTCTGTCGATTAATTCGGTTAAAACCGAAAAATGAACACCCCTAGTATCTATTTTCAATTCAATAATCATATAATATAAAATTTGAATGTGTAACAAACATGAAATTTTATTAAAATTTATACACTCGTATTGAAATCCATCCCCTGGAGCTCTATCTCCATGTTCACAAATTCAAACTCAAACGTGCAAACATTAATGCTATCTCTAAAACCATATCAAGCACAACAAAAGTCGCAACTGAATGCTTCCACAGTTCATGAAACCAAAAAAAAAAAGAAAAAAAAAACATAATTTTCTGTCATGTCTATGGGAATTTTTTTTATAAACGTAAATATTACCAAATGGAGGAAAATATAATTGTCCTAGCTGTACTGAGCCAAGCCGAAAGAGGGAAGGTTCCATGAAGACGTACCCTAACTTTGACTGACATAAAGAACAAGAACCAATCCAGGCATTTTACCATCCCTTCCAGGCCGTTTTTCTTCACCTGCAACAAAGTATCGAGTGTTCGTTACACACACTACACAAAATAGTCTGATTCACTTACCACAAAGAGACTGGTATGAATACAGAATACTGAATACAAGTGTTGGACATGGGAGTATTTAAACTAAAATATATATCTTTTTATACATTAGGATCAGAGGCAAAACTAAGAATTTCAGACGGAAAGGACGACCGTATTTCAAGTATACACACAAACAATAATTGAATTCATACTAATTAAATTAAGCATGATCATAACTCAATTTTGCAACCTTCTTTTATAGTACTTACATAAAACCATCCATCAATATTTATTATTTTATTAACATTCTACTTTCTTTATGATTTGCAAAAATCAATACCAGCGGTGAATAAAAAACAAAGGCAAGCTAGCAAATATGTTATGAACAATGAACCGTCTTCAAATTTCAAAGACAATCCTGACTAGCAGAGTCAACTTACCTCATCATCTCCGCCAGCAGTAAAATCATACAATGCAGTCCCGAATTGTGGGTTTCCAGAAGACCCGCGATCATCATCCCGGGATTCAAAACTGCGGGACCCGTGGCCAGCTAAGGAGTTTTCAAATGAATCATACCGTTCAGGTGATGTATACGGTGGAGGTTCTTCCCTAATCTGAGAATGTCTGATGAATCAGAACTAAAACATAAATCTGCGATACAAGAATAGATTGCACAGGGCAAAGAATACTTACTGGAGAACCATAGCCCTCATACATAGATGAAGGATTGTTAAACCTACTTCCACCTGATCTCTCCTGCTAGAGGAAGTTGAACCCGGCCAAAATTAAAAAAGTCCATGGCAGAGGGAAGCATCAGTTTATAATCAATAGACAATGTTTCCAAGAATCCATGAAAATAAATGAACCTAGAAGTATGCTGCTTAATGTTAATAGGTAACCCATTCCTTCTGAGAAACTAGTATGAATGAATGAATAGAAACTTAGATAAGTATATCAGAAGAACCACTTATTAACCAAGAATATAGATTGCATTTTATATACCGATGGTTGTGAACCCCCATAAGTAGTTGGTCGGGAACTGAACAATGAAGGATAGTTCATTCCACCAAAGTGAGATGATATGGAAGTTTCAACTGATCCTGTTGACTCGGGAGAAGAAGATCCTGATGACCTGACATCATCTTCCTGCAATTCACAAAATACCATCGAAATGGTCAATATCTCAGATAGCCAAAATGCACATAGTTTCAAACTCTTAGTCTATACATGGAGGCAGTAATCAGGTGGATTTAGGTCAAACAGTCTCCCTCGAGTGCAATTCCGAACGGGGTCAAATTTGGACTCTATTGGGTTCAAGCTGCCAGTTTTTGAGTTTAACATTGATATAAGTTATAACCATTTCAATAAGTTCATTGCATTAATATTAATTTTTTTCATAATCAATGTAAAATATATATCATCAATTATCTAAAAATTTCAAGACAAAACATGATAGAACAGAATTGAAATTTAAAATAAGGATATAGATATTTATATTAATATAATAGTACCATAGTTTTGTCTATACACTCACTCTTGGTATTTTTGTGTGTTCTTATTCTCTTTTTATTCATCATTTTTAATAATTATTTCAAATTTTCAAGAATTTTTTTATTCAACTTTTTCATTAAAAAAAACATTGGGTCATTGAATAATGGAGATTATTATTAGTACAAAACTCGGTTTATAAAGCAAATACTAACTTGTTGGCCAAAAAATAAAAGCAAATACTAACTTAAGAAGAATACTATTAAATGAGCAAATTTAAACATTAGTGCTTAAAAATTATAACAAATTAAACATCATGATATTTAGAATTAATTGATAATAGTTTCAACTTTAACATTTTGCAAAGTTCACTACTTAGAATTAATGAAGAGAAAACGTCTTGGGTTGAAGAATAACTTCATAAATTTAGATCAATTAATTTCCATACCGACTAAAAGTTTACAACAATAAGAATTCAATAAGAGGCATTCAAGTTTTATGGGTTTTAAGTTGGTTCAGTCTTGAGTTTTGGGTCAATACAAGTTCAAGTTGCATGGGTATGGACCTTTTCAGGTTATAGTCATTTCTTGTTTAGAATTTTTTTCCCTCTCTGGTTCAGGAGTGTCTGACATTTGCAGTCAGTCCAAAATGGTCAGAATTTGGTCCCAAACAGGTCTTGTCTAGTCCTGTCAAATTTTGATTCTATCAATCTATATCAATCAACATGTGAGGGATTTGGAAGAAACCATACCTCCATTTCTGTACTCTCCAAAAGTGTCTTGGCCCACATGTCATCATAAGTAACGGAAGGTCTAGAGACAATGTTCTCATCAACATCTGGTGCGTCAGTTCCAGCACCGGCAAGAAATTCATTGACCTAGCATGACGTAGAGACAAGATGAACATCACTTGGAACATTAGTAATCACAACTTAGAAAAGAAAAAGGTAAGGTGCATAGATGTAATCTTGTAATTGTTGAAACTCTTTGAAACTAACTCAGAACTTCTTTCTCAATCAAGGATAACCTTTGGAGTGAGGTCATCCTCAAACCAGTGTGAGACAGTTTAGTGTGTGTTTTATACAATATAAAAAAGGGTAAAGATTCCTTACATTTTATCGGTAACAATTAGGCCTGTAAACGAACCGAGCGCACACGAACGGAAGTATGTTCATGTTCATTCATTTAATAAATAAACGAACACGAACATAAACAAACAATTTTTTTTGTTCATGTTCGTTCATTAAGGAATATAACTTATTCTTTTTTGTTCATGTTCATTAATAAATAAACGAACACGAACATAAACGAACACAAACGAACGAACATAAACGAACATAATAAACGAACATAAACAAACATAATAAACGAACATAAACGAACAACACAAACACAAAAAACAAACTTATTCGAACACAACAAATGAATGTAAAAAAAGTAAACAACAAGAATAACAACTTAAAATTCATTAATATAACCTGCAACTTTAGAGTTAATTTGTTCGAATACGACAAAAACATACATAAATCATAAATAAGCTACATGAACATAATAAAGTCTTAAAGTTAATTTGTTCAACAAAACAATCTTCTTGAAATCCAAACAACTTCAATAATCTTCGTAACATATTCAACTTGCCCTCTGTTCGAACATAAATGAACGAACATAAACGAACGAACATAAACAAACATATAATCGAACGTTCACAAACGTAAATGAACGAACGAGCCCTTTGTTCGTGTTCGTTCATTTAATTAAACGAACGCAAAAACTTGTTCATGTTCGTTCATTTAATAAATAAACGAACATAAACTAACTTTCCGCCGCACGGTTCATGAACGGTTCGCTGAACGTTCAGTTCATTTACAGGCCTAGTAACAATAATAATAATAATAAGTATGCAAGCTTTATGGTAGGGTCAAAAACAACAAAAAAACATGGTGCGGCTGCAAAGTATGATAGAGCTTCCAGGCTGTAAAAGCAAATAGCTTTCTATCATGTTTGGGAGCTGGAGTAATAGAGAAAACATGAGAGAGAGAGTTAGTGAGAGAGAGAGTGAGTGAGATTTCAAAAGGCAAGTTTTCTGTAGGCGAAGTTAGTGCAGTCCAAGGAGGAGGTCCATGGTCAGCGTTCGTTGATAATCTTAGTAGGAGAGTGCATCGAACTGCATTATGGAAATGTTTTAGTCATCATGGCAAAGTTATTAAGGTGTTTATTCCTTTTATTAATAAGAGACCGAAATATAAAGTGTGTACTTTTGCATTTGTTCATTTTGTAAGTAAGGAGGATCTGCACAATGCAGTAGATAAGATGAACAATGTTATGTTGGATGGGAGGAGAATAACAGTGGCAGTAGCGAAATATGAGAAGGTATTTGGGTCCAAGAGTCGGGTAGGTGTTAGAAGGGAGGGTGCTGATAGTGCTGATGGAGGAGGGGTGAAGGAAGGAAGGCATCCATCTTCAGTGGAAGTGGTGGGGAAGACGAATCTGTTAAAAAGGTTTCTTGATGGAAGGACGTATAAAGAAATGCTAGTAGGGGTGAACAAAGATCAAGAGGGTGTTAAACAGAACAATCATAGTAACTTTAAGGAGGTTAGAAAGCCTTTGGAATTTTTTATGCCGGTGGAGGAAAGGGTTTGGCTGAAATCATCCCTGACAGGGATTCACAAGGCACTTTTTGAAGTGGAGTTCGTGCAGAAGGCCATTTGGAATGATGGTTTCAAAGCTAAGGTGATAAGGTGGGGTTTGCCTGGTAGTTTTTCCGTCGGAGATGGAAAATGCGCTGGAAGAGAGGTGGGAAGCTTTGTCTTTCTGGTTTGAAAGACTGGAACCTGTTTCGGATTATGGGATTATTCACTTAGCGTATTGTGCGATCTCCATGATAGGAGTGCCTCTAAACTATTGGTCAGTTCATTTATTTACCAATTTGGCATCCCGATGGGGCAAGCTAGTGAAGATTAAGGAAGAAACTGTTCAAATAGTGGACTGTAGAGTGGCTCAGATGCTGCCCAGGGTCCAAAGTCCATTTGATATTCTAGAATATGTTATTATTAATACGTATGGAAGGAAGTTCTGTACCAAAATAAAGGTTGAATGTTCTGAGGATTTTTTCTCAGAATTAACAGACTTGGTTGAAGATGATGTTTCTGAAGAAGATCCATGGAAAGAGAATTCTTCGGATTAGAGCCAGGAAACTATTTAATCGAGACATGCAGAACAAGTGGGATTTCAAAAATTGTCAGATTCCCAAGAAAGGGTGGAGGCATGGGTACACGATTCCCCACTACGAAAAAGCTCAGATTTTGAGCGTTTGAATTTGAACAAAGATTCAAAAAATATGTCTTTTGTTGACTTATGTGAGGGATTTACAGCTGTAAGAGCTGTCCCCACCCAGCAGAATGAGCCAAGAAATTCAAATGAAGGTAGAGGTGATTTAATAGAGCTTGACAAGGTTGACCGAGATAATGGGTTGCAAACAGGTCTGCAAACCATGGGAAATAATGGGTTGGATAAAGAGGGTATTAGAACATGTATTGTTTCTCATATTTCAGCATCAAATAATATAGCAGAGCAGTTTCAGCCTGCTGTTCAGTCAGGCACTGTCCACTCATCCCGAATGTTTCCGTCAGTAAATCAGAAAGAGGATTATGTAATCGTGTGTATTTGAGATCGAGACGGGGGGGAGTGAAGAGTTGTGTTGGTACAACTTCATATCATGTATGTCAAGATGAGATTGAGGGAGAGGTAGAGGCATTAGAGTGCTGGAATGTGAGTAAGTTAATGAGAGTTACATTCAGAGGGGGGAAGAAATCATTCATGAAAAAGGCAGTTTCCTCAGTAAAGGGGAGAGAGTTGAATGGGGGAAGTTAAGGGGATAAGCCAAATAAGGTTGTTGATTGAGAAAGATGATTAATTGGAAAATAATGTCTTGAAATGTTAGGGGTTTGGTTAGGAGGGTAAAAGTTAGAGCTGTTAGGAAGTTTATTGATGAGAAGAAACCTTTAATTTTATTTGTACAAGAGTCGAAATTGGAAGTTGTGAGGAATTCTTTGCTAAGGAAAATGGGAGGAAAATTGTTAACTGGTTCGTTAGTTTCTCCAGTTGAAGGATCTGCTGGAGAAATAATAACATTATGGAATGAGAAAGAGTTTGTAGTGCATCAAGAATTTACACAGCAGAATTCACGAAAATTATGGGTTCTTTTGATGGGGATTCAGAGGCATGTTGTTTTGTAAATGTATATGGTTCAAGCGTGGAGTCAGAAAAGGAGCAGTTTTTAGAGAGATTTTGGTTTTTGTGGAGACTGTGAATGGCCCGGTCTGTTTAGGAGGGGATTTTAATGCAGTGCTGGCACATGAGGAGAAAGTAGGTGGTGCTGTAAATTCGGTTTCATTGGGATTATTCAACGATTTTGTGTCTAAAGCAAATGTGGTTGATTTAACGTTGTTAGGAGGTCGTTATACTTGGTGCAATAACAGGGACGAACCTACGTATATCAGATTGGATCATTTTTTGGTTAATCAGAGGTTCCTATCATTGTTTCCCAATATTATTCAAACCTTGCAGCCGAGGTCTGTTTCGGACCATAATATGATTCTGCTAGAAAATTGTGAAATTAATTGGGGTCACAAACCATTCAGGCTGTTTAATTATGTAATGGAAGAGGTTGTTTTTATCGAGATGATGGAGGAGGAATTGCAGAATTTTCGAAAACAGGTAGAAAATAATAACATTTCTAATCTGTTGATGGGAGTCAAGGGGCGGTCAAAAGATGGTCTAATAAAAGATCTTCAGATTCCTGCAAAGATTAACAGCCTTGAGAATGAAATTCAGGCGATGTAATTGGATTTACAACAAGGTAGTTCATTGGTTACTATGAAGGTTTTAGTGGAAGCGAAGAAAGAATTATGGGATTTGTACAAGAAAGAAGAATCGATTTGGTTGCAAAAATCAAGAATGAAGTGGGGTTTGGAAGGAGATAAGAACACAAGATTTTTCCACCAAATTGCAGGAGTGAGAGGAAGGATGAATAGGATCAAGTCTCTAAATATTAACAGTGATGTTATTTCAGATCCTATTTTAATTAAAAAATCAGTGAAGGATTTCTTCCAAGGGGTGTTCAACCAAAACGATACCTTGGTTGTGGAAGAATTGGATTTGGAGTTTTAAAACTTTTATTAGATCAAAACAGGGCTCTTAAAAATACATTTTTTGAAGAAGAAATCTGGGAAACAATTGCGCATTCGGACAACAATAAAGCACCAGGCCCAGATGGTTTGAATTTAGGGTTTTTCAAGAAATTTTGGGGAAATTTGAAAGAAGACTTGGTGGTGCTTTTTAGATAATTTCACTAAGGGAAGGTATGGGACTCGGAGGTGAACCATTCTTTTATCTCTCTCATTCTAAAGAGGGTTAATCTGGAGGAGCTACAAGATTTTAGTCCAATTAGCCTTGTTGGAGGATTATTTAAAATTCTATCTAAGGTTCTAGCTAGAAGGTTAAGCCTTTGTATAAATGAAATTATTAGCTCCTCACAATTTGCGTTTATACCGGGAAGATAGATTATGGACTGCTCGTTTATTGCAAATGAGGGTATCGATTATTGGAGGAAAAAGGGGTTGAAGGGGGTCGTATTTAAAGTAGATTTTAAAAGAGCTTATGATTCCGTGGATTGGAATATATTGACGAAAATAATGTGCAAAATGGGGTTTGGGTATAAGTGGTCTTCGTGGATTAATCAATGCGTGTCAACAGCCACAATTTCAGTTCTCGTTAATGGGACCCCGACAGAAAAATTTAAAACAACAAGTGGTATACGACAAGGCTGTTCATTATCTCCTATGTTGTTTAATTTGGTTGGAGAGTTGCTTCATTTGATGTTGGCTAAAACAATGGAGATAGGGCTGTTTTCGGGCTTTGAGTTAGGAAATCAAGTGAGGTTGTTTATGCTATCACATTTGCAATTTGTGGATGACCTCATTATCTTTAGCAAGGCCACTGTTCGAGACTTGAAGAATGTCAGAAGGGTGTTGTTAATTTTTGAATTGATGACAGGTTTGCAATTGAATTTATATAAGAGTAAAATCTTTCGTATTAATGTGGATCTAGGTGAGTTAACAGGCTAGGCAGTGGAAATTGGCTGCACAGTGGGATTTTTTCCAGCATAATATTTAGGATTACCGTTGGGATCTAAGAGAAATTCTACAGTATTGTGGGAGCCAATTGTCCAGATCTTTTATTCTAAATTGGCTGGTTGGAAGGCTAATTCCTTATCTCTAGCTGGTAGGGCAGTTTTGGTGAAGTCAGTTTTGTGTTCTCTTCCGACTTATTTTCTCTCCCTTTTTAGAATTCCAATTGGTGTGGTTAAGAGATTGAATTCCATAATGGATGCCTTCCTTTGGGGTGGCTCGACAGATAAGAGGAATATTCATTGGTTGAATTGGAAGTTAGTATGCAAGCCGAAGAGGTTGGGGGTTCGGGAATTCCGAATTTGGCTATTCTAAATAGAGCTCTTTTGGGTAAATGGGTATGAAAATTTGCAACTGAGAAGAATTCGTGGTGGAAAAAAGTTGTGTGTTGCGTGTATAATTTAGACTTTAATACATGCTTAATTACGAATTCTTTGTCTAATCAGGCATCTTGGATTTGGAAAGGAATAATTAATAATTTCTTTTCTAATGATGATTTTGGGGAATGTGTAAGGAAGAATTTGTGTTTGAAGATGGGGAATGGAGAGACAATGCAATTTTGACATGATTCTTGGTTGGGTTCGTTTCCTTTAAAACTTAGGTTCCCAAGGATCTTTGCTCTATCAATGAATAAAGGGGGCAAAGTTGCAAAGTTCATGGAAAATTCTTCATCAGGGTGTTGCTGGGATATTAAATTAAGGAGGAATTTGGTGGACTGGGAGGTGGAACAGTGGATGCAGCTTATGTCCTTGTTGAATTCTACCTCTTTATCATCTTTGCAAGAAGACTGCTGGGTCTGGACAGGGAATAGGGAGGGTTGTTTTTCAGCTAAATCTTGTGTGAAGTGCTATTTTGATTGGGCTGGTAATGAGGAAGATGATGGTACTTGGGACAACATTATATGGACAGAGGTTGCTCCTCCTCGGGTCGAAACTTTTGTTTTGCAGGCTTCTCATCAGAGAGTGGTAGTTAGAGAGGAATTGATAAAGCGAGGAGTTACAGGGATTGAAGACTCGTTATGTCCTTTGTGTGGAAAGTGTGTGGAGTCGGTTTCTCACCTATTTGTACACTGTGAGGTCGTTAGAGGCCTGTGGTATAGATTCTTTTCATCTTGGAATGTATCTTTTGTGCCACCTCAGACTTTGTTGGATTTCATAATCGTTTGGAATGATTTAATCCCGAAATCCACCATTTGGAAGTTCATCCCTAGGGCGGTGCTTTGGACTGTTTGGAAGTGTAGAAATGATATTATTTTTGGGAAATGAATGGTGGATGGCCCGTTATTGTTCTTCCTTGTTTGTTTTAGAATTGCATCATGGTTTGTCGCGAGATTCAATGATGTGCAGATTAATTTTGATTCTCTTGTGGGTGATATTAAATTAGCTGATTTGGGGGTAAGAAGGAAGAAGGATTTTAGAATTGCATCATGGTTTGTCGCGAGATTCAATGATGTGCAGATTAATTTTGATTCTCTTGTGGGTGATATTAAATTAGCTGATTTGGGGGTAAGAAGGAAGAAGGATTCTATTTCTTCCTCGTGTTGGACTGCTCCTCCTTTAGGTTTCATTAAATTAAATGTTGATGGTGCGATGTCTAAGGAGTGGGATAAAGGAGGCATTGGTAGATTGTTAAGGGATGCTTAAGGGTTGCAGCAGGGTTCGTTTTCCGAAAGGATTGGGGTGGGACCTCCTATTCTTGCAAAGCTATTGGCTATAAAAAGAGGGCTGATGTATATTGAGGAGAAAGCTTTGGTTTCATTTCCAAGGGTCATCCTAGAATCAGATTCCCTTAATGCACTGAAATGGATTAAAAATCTGGGTGTTTGTACTCCTATGTTCCAGTCTTTGGTGAAAGACATTGCTGCCTTAGTGGAGAGTAGAGGGGTAATTGTTAGGCATATTTTGAGATATGCTAATTGTGAAGCGGATAAACTAGCTAAAGAAGGAATAGGATGATTATTAGAGTATTGAATTGGTTGCACAACTTTTGAGTTGGTTATTTATGTTATGTGTTTGGTTTTTAAGTTTTATGTTGTAACAAAACTTCTTAGGATGACTATGTATTATTCTGGTATTAATGAATTTTTAGGCACTCTTTTTCTCCTTCCTATGTCTTTCATGTTATTGTTGTAACATGGAGGTTAAGAAGGGGGTTTTTAACGAGGCCTATCCAATTTCTACCAAAAAAAATGTTTGGGAGCTCAATGCATTAATTCTCTGTAGATATGAAAGTCATTTCCGCAACAATTTGTCTTGCAGATTATCAGACTGCTCACATGCATGAAAATAGTTAACGTACAACACTAAGTATGCCCTCTATCAAAAATCAATTAGAGTAACGGTGCACAATCAGCTAACATTTATAGTTGTTATTTTGTAACCTATGGTAAATAGTTAAGTTTTGAACTCTAATTAGGGTAAATTACACACTTAAATACACGTAAGGTTTCAAGTTTCCCTACATAAAAGCCTTTTTCTTTTTCTTGATGCTAGCACTCTTTGGTTCAGTTCTATTTACAAAAGCGATCATATTACTAATTTCATCCAACAGAATTAAGAAAGTAGAGAAATTAAAAATGTCTATTCTAGGTTCACCATAAAGGCTAGTTTTAGAACTCTTTTGGGTCACATAACATACCAAGGACGCCAAATGTGGGAGGAAAAGGAAAATACAAGGCCTTAAGCAGCAAAACTCCACGTGACAAACTGTCAGGTGCTAAACGGAAAAACTTCAAACCAGAACGAGAATGAGTGAACTTACCTTTTTAATTAAAGTGCTTGGGTGACTATTAAGTAACCAGTCAATGCATTCAGAGATTCAAAGTTAGATCAGGATTACAGGTAACCAAGGGCTAAAACTAAAGAGCTGTAGTCCTAGCATCTACAGTAATTTATATTTAATTTTAATAGCTATCTTAGACCAGGATTACAGGTAACCACGGGCTAAAACTAAAGAGCTGTAGTCCTAGCATCTACAGTAATTTATATTCAATTTTAATAGCTATCTTATTTTTTTTACGGTTCATTGGTTCTACAACACTAGTATTCTTCCATTTGGAAATGTTTACTGCTGAAGTATTATTGGCAAACCAACAGAAGCTATATCCGTTAACAGCATCAGTCAAACTTAATTAATTAAAAGTTTCTCAAGTTGGTATTAAATAAATGAACTTATTCGCAAAATAACAGCTAATGAGTATGCCAAGCTTTCCACGCTCAATTGAACTATGGATACTGCACTAATCCTTTAGGCTTTGCTTGGTACAAAGGAAAGAAAATTAAAAAGATAAAATTGGAGGAGAAAAGTAAAAAGATAGAATTTCTTTCTCTTTACAACGGTGTGTGTGGAAGGAAATGTGGAAAAATCAAAAGAAAATTACTTTTCTATTCATTAATTGCTTGGTGGAGTTGAAAAATGAGAGGAAAAAAAGATGAAAATTAAAAAAATGCATAATTTGGAAAATATGCGCACATATTTATCTTTCTCATTTACTCTTCTATTATCATTTCAATTTGGAATAATTTGTTTCTATGCATTATGTTGGAAAATGAACAGCTTTCCGATTTTCTTTACTCTCACTTTCCTTTCCTACCACTAAAAATTTATATTCGTTCCACTTTCTACTAAACCAAACACACCCTTTATGTGTGTGTGTGTGTCTGTTAGTTATTTATTTCCAAGAACCCATCTTTTGTATTGTATCGCGCCCCCAAACCCCGTAAAACAACACACATAGAGACTAGGTATTTGATTCCAGAACTATAATCGTTAAACAGAAGCATCAATTGAATCAAAATTCAGGCAAAACATAATTTCTTAGCCTGTTCACTGCCGGGACGTCACCAAGGTTGGCTGCCCAAGCATTTACTAGATCATCATCGAGCGTATCAGATTCAGTAGCAGCCGGTTTGGATTCATAAACAAGATCAGAAATTCCAGTGGCAACAGCTGGATCACTCAAACCAGTTGATGCACTAATATTATGCCGTGTGCGATATACGTCGATAAGCTTTGCACTTCAAAAGATACAAGGTAAAAAAATGAGAAACTTGTGACTTTAAAATAGAATGAAATACCACAAATCAAACAGAAGCACATGGAGTGCATTTCATGATGTTTTTGTCAGAATCAGCGGTGTAGAAGTCTCATCTGTTTAGGAGTCTTTTATGATAAGAAAGGACAAGCCTCATGAGTATTTGTAATCTCTATTTTTTTTTATAAGAGAGGGACGCCTCGTTAAAAATCTCCTTCATGACCGTAAAGAACCCTGAGTTATCTCGACGGTCATTGGAAGGAGAAAAAGAGTGCCTCATAATTTTATTTATGCCGAACAAACCATTACATTATAACCAATACATAAAGCATAAAACCAATAGAACAGAATAACCTATAGGATCCTAAAACCAGAAATTCACCCAATTCCTATCTCAGCTAATTCATCCGCTTTACAATTACAATTCTACTAACATGTTTTACAACAACACTCTTATCTTCTACCAATGCACTAATTTCCTTGACTAGTGAGCTGAAAATCATAGGAGAAAAACTCGGCCAATTGATCCAATCCACAGCTTTACTACTATCACTCTCCACCATTAGATAGAATTTGATCTTTAGCAGAAATGTCCTATTAGAAGTCAGCAACTCAATTTATTTAAACCATTGTAATATGTTAAATTCAATAATCAAATTTCTCTTTCACAACCTCTTTTATTCTTTCCCTCTTCTTCAGTTTATTTCCCTAGATTATGGCGTGATAACAGCTTAGGTCTTGTTCCTGATCGGGAAAATTTTCACCCAGTGAATGTCGCCAAACCTTACTGGTTCAATTGTGATAATTAATCAACTATCAATACTGCTCACAATCTTATTGAGCATTATTGAACAAAGCACATTGAAGTTGATAGACATTTCATTAAGGAAAAACTGGACAGTGGTCTAATTGTACTCCATTCATCTGTACCAAGAATCAGTTGGCAGATGTACTCACGAAGGGACTAACAAGCAAGGACTTTCAAGAAATTCTAAACAAGTTTGGGAATGGCAAATATTCACTCACCAGCTAGTGGGAAACTGTCAGAAGTAGAAGTCTTTTTTGTGTAGGAGTCTTTCAAGATAACAAGACCTTAGAAGTCTTTATAATCTCAGTCTCTAGATAAAATTTTATCTTTAGCAGAAAAGTCCTATCAGAAGCTAGCAACTTAGTTTATTTAAACTCTCCTAAATTCAATAATCAAAATTTTCTTTCATTACATCTTTTAGCATTTCCCTCTTCTTGGGTTTATTTATGTAGACTATAACATTTTTAAACATGAGATTTGTTTCTTTTTCCTTTTTCTATCACACTACAAAAGGGTGTAACAAGGTTTACCTTATTGGCCCCAAAGGGAGATACTTTGCTCGTGGAACATAACAAAACAATGAAACAAGATCCAACAACCTCTCATGGGTTTCATATAATTTTTTAAGCTCTTCATCTTTCCATTCTTTATTTGCATTATCATGGTTTCGTATTTCCCTGATTATGGACAACAAGAACTTTTTAATCATTCAAAACCAAAAAAAAGTTACAATCAAGTAGGACAGTTCTAAACTCATACTTGATTAGGTCATCTTGTGCACTATACATTTCATCAAGAATTTTGATCATAGGAGTTATTAGAACTCCAAGTCCTGTAATACTGGCTCCTTGATCTTCTCCATTACTTAGATGCATTTCAGATAACTGAGACTGCACACCACCCTGTGCTAAGGCATGTAAAAACTCATATATTTGTAGCCTAAATGGCTCACCAGACCGGATTGCTACCGTTGTAAGAGCTTGAGCAGCAATAATGCGAACCTAATATGTCCATACAAAATAAGAAGAATACAGAAACACATAAATTAGAGCAACATCACTCTAGCACGTTGAAATGTGAAATAAATTTGAATATGATAATATATAGCACGCATAGGCCATTGCCAACAAACACCGAGAACTTATTCAAGGATCATATCAAACAAAAATAATGCTCACATTTATTCAAATGTGTACGTGTTTAATGGAACAAGCTTAACCAAATAGTTTTACTGTGCCACATGCCTAGAACTTCTATTTTCTACAGCAATTTTTCCAACAATAAAATGAAAATCATTGTTTCAACAGAAAAAAGGTTTGCAGCATACTGATATGAGCAGGACATATTTTGGACCTATACCAGACACCTGTCCAACACAGTTGGAGACCGGAATGGGGGCATGCCCTCCAAATATAGAGAAAAACGTAGAAATATTTGGACACACTCGTCTTCAGTTCATCAAATCATAATCACAAGGCAAAGCACCAATAACATTGAAGATTGAGGCAGAAACATGCTGAGCTTTAACGTGCATGTTAAAGCATCTAACAGAAACAAGAAAAATGATCAGACAGATATCATACAAGCTAGTGTCCTGCATGACAAAGAAACTAATCGAGGAATTGATATATTTAAAGTTCTATTTCTGTTAGGGTTTAATTGCAAATTTTATGGTTGAGGGTCATATTTGTATATTATCATTCTAATGTGTTCTAGGAAGTTAAGTTTGGGTTCCTTATCCTATTAGGCATTGCTATTTCTACAGTTCTACTTCGGACCACATTTTTTTTATAAGAGGAGGAGGCCTCGTTAAAAACCCCCTTCATGATTAAAGGAGCGCCTATTGGAATTCCTTAATCAGCGGAAGGAGGAAAAGAGTACCTCAAATATTATTGATAAAAAAGTATTACAAAGAGTAGACTACATCCAATAACAACCCCCTTACAACTGAAAGCCCAAAAAACAAAAAAAAGAACCACCCAAGCTGAAACTCCCTAACTTAGCCAATACCAGATTTAGCTAAACCATCAGCCTCTATATTTGCTGTCCTAGCTACCCAACGAATAAGACCCTCCAAAACCCTTAACCTATTAATAATATCCTTAACAATAGTAACAAACACCCCTGGACATTTATCCAGATTCTTTATCCATTCCACAAACAACTTACTATCACTTTCAATAATTAAACGTTCCTTAAAGCACCATCGAAAGGAATCAAAGAAGATTAAACCCTGCTTGATTGCCTTCAACTCCATCAAGGTAGGAGGACCCGGACCAGCAGCATCTTGGAAAGAACCAAGCACCGAACCAGCTTCATCTCTCAAAATCTCGCCTAGTCCACTAGTCTTCTGTAGGAATTATAGAGATGATTTGTTACCATTTCTATAGAGATATGATTTGTTATCATTCATATAGAGATATGATTTCTATAATCCCTTATTTTAAGGGATCATATCCTAGGATTATTATTTTTCCTTTCTTAGAGTTTCCTACTTTAGAGAGATATTTTGTATATAAATATGTAATCTGTCATATTGAAAAGAATAAGAAATTACAGAGAATTACTCTTATTTCTACATGGTATCAGCTTAGGTTACGGTTTCTTTCCAACCTAGATGATGTCCACAACTTCTTCTCCTACTCCGGAGATCACTTCAAATCCAGAAAATTTTTCTGGTTCTGCTGCTCAATCAGAAAGTAATCTGGTCATGAAAGAACCAGAAGGTAAACCTCATGCTACAGTTTTTTTCTCCTCCCAGTCATCCCCTAATTGGATCATCGATTCTGGTGCTACGGATCATATGACTGGTAATAAGGATTTGTTTTGCAATTTTTTTCCAAACTTTGGTAAAGCTGTCAAAACGGCTGATGGTTCTTTGTGCAAAATAGAAGGACATGGAACTGTTATTCTCAATGACCATATTGCACTTAAAAATGTCATCTTCGTACCAAATCTGGCTTGCAATCTCATTTTCGTTAGTAAACTTTCCACCGACTTGCACTGCTATGCAATTTTTAATGATATTGATTGTACTTTGCAGGCACTGAACTCGAAGAAGATGATTGGTAAGGCCAGCTTGCAGAATGGTCTCTACATTCTTCCTGCCTCTACTAAAACCGAAATCTCGAAATCTTTCACCGCTTTAAAAAAGTTAATAATGTTATGTTATGGCACTATCGTTTAGGTCATCCTAGTTTTCACTATCTTGCAAAAGTTTTTCCTGCTCTATTCTTTCATAAAAGGCCAAATTCTTTTTCTTGCAAAGTTTGCTCTCTTGCCAAACATACTAAATCAACTTATTCTCCTTCTACATATAAGCCTTCTCACCCTTTTTCTTTGATCCACAGTGATATTTGGGGTCCTTCTCGGGTGAAGAATGCTGATAATTGTAAGTGGTTTATCACTTTCATTGATGATCACAGTAGGATAACTTGGACTTATTTGCTAAAAGATAAATCTGAAACTGCAGGTGTTTTTACCCAATTTTATAACATGGTTCTCACTCAATTTGGGTCTAAAATTCAGCTCTTTAAATCTGATAATGGCAGTGAATTTTTTGATAAGTCTTTGGGTGCGTTTTTCAGGGAATAGGGCATAGTTCATATTTGTTCTTGTGTTGACACCCCACAACAAAACGGTATTTCCGAAAGAAAAAATAGACACCTCCTTGAAGTTACTCGTTCTCTTTTATTTACCACTAATGTTCCAAAATATTTGTGGGGGGGGGAAGCCTTATTAACTGCAACATATTTAATCAATCGAATGCCTAGTAAGGTTTTACAATTTCAAACACCTCAATTTATATTTTTGCAATACTTTCCCCATTTTAAACCTATCTCCTCCATTCTTCCACTTAAAATATTTGGTTGTACTGTTTTTATCCAAAACATTGCTCCTAATAAGTCCAAGTTAGATCCTAAATCATTAAAGTGTGTACTGGTTGGGTATTCTTCACTTAAGAAGGGTTATAAATGTTATCATCCTCCTTCAAAACGATTTTTTACCACTATGGATATAACATTTTATGAGCAGGATCCCTATTTCACTCAGGCTGAAATTCAAGGGGAGACATGGAAGGATTTTCAGCCACATTAGGTATCTCCTCCTACTCTTCATTCTCAACCTTCGAAATTGCCACCAATTTTATCCTTACCTACAGATTTGTCACCTGTAACTACTCCCATTGATCCACCGGTAGTACATATCACTACTTCACCCATACCCACTTTAAATACCCTTCCTGAAAATACACCTACTCCCATTCAAAATATTCCACAAACAACACTAATCAAATAACTCCGTTTCTATACAAGGAAAAGAAAACATATTCCTGAGGTTGTTTTGCAATCTGATGCTTGCCGAGAATTGGATTTGGGTCCAGCTACCGAAATAGAAGAAAAAGTCAGTAAGTTCACTTCCCCTACTCTATATGACTTCCCTATTGCTATTAGAAAAGGGGTTAGACAGTGCACCAAGCATCCTATTGAAAAATTTGCTGGTTATAATTCATTGATGCCGTCTTTTCAAGCATTTACAACAAACTTGGATAAAGAACAGGTTCCCACAAGCATAGCTGAAGCTCTAAAGGATTCAAAATGGAGAAGGGCTGTTGAAGAGGAAATTTATGCACTGGAGAAAAATGCTACTTGGACTATTACGGACCTTCCTCAAGGAAAAAAGGTTGTTGGCTATAAATGGATCTTTACTGTAAAGTATAACTCAAATGGTATCATCCAACGATACAAAGCAAGACTAGTGGCCAGAGGCTTTACACAAACATATGGAATAGATTTCACATAAACTTTTGCACCTGTGGCGAAGCTGAATACTGTTCGAGTACTCCTAAGTTTGACTGTAAATTGCGATTGGAAATTACACCAACTTGATGTAAAAAATGCTTTTCTTAATGGCAAGCTAGAAGAAGAAGTCTATATGAAGTTGCCACATGGCTTAAAGTCTGTTGAAGGAAGTAACAAGGTGTGCAAGCTCAACAAGTCTCTATACGGGTTAAAATAATCACCCATTCAAGAGGTTCACTAAAGTCATCCTAAAAAACGACTACAAGCAATCCCTCGCCGATCACACTCTTTTCATCAAGGTAACTTCTACAAATAAGAAAGCTATCCTTATTGTGGACGTGGACGACATAATTCTTACCGGAGATGATAAAGAAGAGATTTGCAATTTGAAGAAGTTGTTAAATAAAGAATTCGAAACCAATGACTTGGGAAAGCTAAGGTATTTCCTAGGAATGGAGGTGGCAAGGTCAAAAGAAGGACTTGTGATCAACCAAAGAAAATATATACTTGATTTACTCAAAGAAACTGGTTTTCTTGGTTGTAAGCCGATTGATACACCAATAAAGGCAAGCTTGAAATTTAACAAAGAAGATGGGTCCTTGGTAGACAAAGAGAAATTTCAAAGATTAGTTAGGAAACTAATTTATTTATCCTTGACAAGGCCAGATATAGCATTTCCTGTAAATGTGATAAGTCAACACATGACTAATCCTACTGAAGAGCATATGTCAACAGCAAATAGAATTCTCAAGTACTTGAAGAAAACTCCAGGACACAGTTTAATGTTTAAGAAGACACAAGACAGAACTGTTAAGATCTTTATAGATTCTAGTTGGGCCGGAGACCTTACTGAAAGGAGATCCACTAGTGGCTACTGCACCTTTGTTTGGGGAAACCTTACAACTTGGAGAAGTAAGAAACAATCTGTCGTTTCAAGAAGTAGTGCTGAAGCTGAATTTAGAGCACTAGCATTGGGAATATGCGAAGGAATTTGGCTACTTAAACTACTGAAAGAACTTTTCACTAATTAAGAGGATCACTTTGAAGTTTTGTGTGATAATCAATCTGCTATTCAAATTGCCAAGAACCCAATTCAACATGATTGGACAAAGCATATTGAGATTGATAGACATTTTATTGCTAATCAAGTTAACAAAAAGACAGCCACACTTTCATACATTCCTTCAGAAGAACAAGTTGCAGACATTTTTACTAAGGCTTTGCCAAAGCCTGTTTTCAATAAATTCCTATTCAAGCTGGGATTATACAATGTATATTCTCCAGCTTGAGGGGGAGTGTAGGAATTATAGAGATGATTTGTTACCATTCCTATAGAGATATGATTTGTTACCATTCATATAGAGATATGATTTCTATAATCCCTTATTTTAAGGGATCATATCCTAGGATTATTATTTTTCCTTTCTTAGAGTTTCCTACTTTAGAGAGATATTTTGTATATAAATATGTAATCTGTCATATTGAAAAGAATAAGAAATTACAGAGAATTACTCTGATTTCTACATCTTCCAATCACCACTTACGGCTACATCCACATTCAGCTTTAGAAATCCTTTGGGAGGAGGGGACCAAGGAATCTGTTCAACTAACAGATTTATAGAATTCGAGAAGACATCACCACTTCAGACCACATATTTGTTCAAGTTCTATGTAAATAAGAGTCCTATTTAGTTGTTTTGCTAGTTTGTTAAAAGTCCTAACTGTGTGGGATTATCTTATTATATATTAGATTGTATTTGATTGATTGAATAAGAGAATTTTTCGTTCACCAAAACTCTCTGAAAGAAAATCCATTTCCTTGTCAAGAAAGCATTTTTTCTTTTTAAAAAGACGAATACCAAATCACTTTTTTTTTCTTAGCTCAAATTATGAGATAAGGCTAATATTGTTGTGAGATGATATGCAAGGAAAAATGATGAGTTTTACTTAAGTTTGGTAGGAAACATTAGTTGGGGGAAATGAGACGTAAATAGGAAACACAACTCCATTATGGCAAGGTTCTTATGAGGAGGAGCAAAGAAGAATAAGGTACATTGGGTAAATTAGTTGACAGTGTGCAAATTTAAAGACAATGGTAATTTGGGAGTGATGGATCTCAACCTAATGAATAGAGCTCTTTTAGGGAAATGGTCTTGGAAGTTTGCAAATGAAAAGGATTCTGAGTGGAGACAATGGTGGTTTGGGAGTGATAGATCTCAACCTAATAAATAGAGCTCTTTTAGGGAAATGGTCTTGGAAGTTTGCAAATGAAAAGGATTCTGAGTGGAGGAAGTTGATTTGTAGCAAATATAATCTAGACCAGAGTCTACTGCTGCTCAATAATAGGTTACCTGCTCAGGCTTCCTGATTGTGGAAATCGATGGTGAATAATCATTTCAAAAATGATTCCTTGGGCTCCAAATTTTGTAATATGCTTCGAGTCAGAGTGGGTAATGGTTAGAACATTCGATTTTGGCATGACACTTGGGCGTTAGATTTTCCCTAGACTTTTTGCCCTCTCTACTAATCAGAATGGAAAGTTAAGGGCGTTTGGTGAATTTCAAATTTCAGGTTGGTTTTGGCATATTGAGATGAGAAGGAATTTGAGCAATTGGGAGTTTGATCAATGGGTTGATTTGTTGACAACAATCAATAAAATAAGTCTCTCGGAAAACTCGAGAGATGGTTTAATTTGGAGAGGAGATGGGGAGGGTATTTACTCTATCAGCTCCTGTTTGAAATTGTGTTCCATTGGTTCGGAAGTAGATCCTTTTTAGAAGGGTCACCTTTGGAAGGGTTTGGTGCCTCCAAGGGTGAATACTTTCATGTGGCAAGTTGTTTATCAAAAGTTGGCCGTAAAGCCTGAATTATTAAAGAGAGGTGTTCCGGGGATTGTGAATTCTTTGTGTCCTTTATGCAAATTGGAATTGGAGTCCTCCTCACATTTATTCTTCACTTGCTCAACTACGTGGGGTTTGTGGAATAAGTTTCTGGATTTGTGGAAAATCTCAACTGTCATTCATGAAAACGCACACAACTTTCTCTCAGCTTGGGAAGAATTGGTCTGTCATTCGACCATTTGAACCTTTATTCCTGGTGTAGTTTTATGGACAATTTGGAAATGTAGGAATACCATTGTCTTTGAAATGGGTGTGTTTCACCAGGTTCAATTATTCTTCACAGCAAGGTTCAGATTAACATTTTGGTTCTCAGCTAAATTCAACAATGTTTCCATCTCAAAGGATTCCCTCATCATTGATCCCTCTCTTGGAGATCTTTGTTTTGTTCCAAAGAACCAGATTTTTAAACAGATTTCTTGGTCCCCTCCCCCTATGGGTTTTCTAAAGTTGAATGTGGATGCTGCTGTCAAAGGTGATTGAAAGACAAGTGGATTAGGCAGAATCCTAAGAGATGAGACTGGTACGGTGCTAGGTTATTTTCAAGAAGTTGTTGGTCCAGGTCCTCCTCCTTTAATAGAATTAAAGGCCATTAAATAGAGCTTAATCTTATTTGAATCTTCTCGTTGGTGTTATAAGAAACGTTTGATTATTGAGAGTGATAGTAAGTCATCAGTGGAGTGGATTAAGAATTTGGATAAATGTCCAAGTTTGCATGTTTCTATCTCTAAAGAAATTGCTGATAAGTTAAGAAACTTGGAGGGCTTTATTCGTTGGGTAGCTAGGCTAGCAAATGCAGAGGCAAATGGTTTAGCAAAGTCTGGTATTGGCTAATATAGGGAGTTGGTGGATGGGTTGTTTTTTTTGTGTTTGAGTTTTCTATTGTATGGGGGGTGATCTTGGTTGCATTCACATACTTTGTACTAATCTTTTAGTAATAAAATTTGAGGCACTCTTTTCCTCCTTCCGCTGATTATGGAACACCTTTGGGTGTTTTAGTAATCATGAAGGGGTGTTTTAACGAGACCTCCACTTCTAATCAAAAAAATAAATAAATAAAAATATTTGACCTCTCATTCTTTTATATTTATTATTGAGAAGCAAAAGGGAAAAATATATATAATATAAAAACTTTGATAAAATATTGTATAGAAAGTGCTAGTTTCCATTAAATAATATTTTGTATGAGAGAATGAGCGCGCTAGGAAGAGAGAGAATTAGAGAAAATTCAAAAAAATCCATTTTTTCTGTAGAGGAATGGACTGTGTTCATTGATAATCTTAGTAAAAGGGTCTCTAGACGTGTGTTAAGGGATTTTTTTAGTCCTTGTGGTCAGATTCTAAGAATTTTCATTCCAAGATTTTTAGATAAATCTAATTACAAGTCCTCGACGTTTGCTTTTGTCCAATTTGCTGAGGAGGAAAGTAGGAAGAAAGTAATCCAGTTTGTGAATGGGAAGTGGTTTGATGGGAAGAGAATTTCTGTTGGGGTTGCTATGTATCAGAAGAATAAGAGGAGGGAAGAGGATAAGGGGAAGAGAATGGTGGAGATCAAGTTAGGGGGAAGGGATATTTCAAATACTAGAAGGAAGTTTGAGTTGGGTAGAGGTATGAGAGACGACAGATCATATAAGGATGTAGTAATTTCTGAATGTAACTTGGAGGGTGTTAAGAAGAATGCTCCTGCTGTGAGGAATATTTGGGAGATGCATATTCTATCAGACAACTCAGAATGGGTGAAGAGATCATTAACAGGGATAATGAAACCTTCTTTTAAACTCGTTTTCTTAAAGGAAGCTTTGGAGATGGAGGGGGTGGAAGTTCAGATTGTGAGATGGGGGTACGTATGGAATGCGTGCATCATTACATTCAATTCAGTTGAGGAGTTCTCTCACGTATGGATGAATAAGATGAAAGAGTTACTCTTGTGCTTAGACTGGTTGGCACCATTATTGAACAAGGATGGAGTTCCGATGGCTCTTTGTCAAATAGAGTTGTATGGATTGCCTTTGTTATGTTGGAATGAGTCATTCGTGAAGAAACTTTCTGGGAAGTGGGGTGATTTTATTTGTTTTAAGAAGGAACCAGTGACCAGATCCGACTTGTTGGTGGCGAAAGTTTTGTTAAGGGTGGAAAGTCCTTATGATGTTCCTGAGACGGTTACGATTGGTTCTGTTCTGAAAAAACCAGAAGAAGCGGGGAGGAAGATGGTGGAGAAAATTTCAAAAAAATGTAACAGTGGTTATGTCTTATCTAGGGAAGGGGTTGGGAGATGTCTTTCTTTGGAAGCAGATGGGGATGAGTTCTCAGATGATGGTACATTCAAAGTCATATCTTGGCTGAATAATGGGCATAACAGTGGTGTGAATGGATTTTGTGGGGGATAAGTCGCATCGGGTATGTCAACAGCAGAAAATTCAAATTGTGGGCTGTCAGGTTTCTTGGAAAATATGACTAACCAGATGGGAAGTCATGTGGGCCTGGGATTGAGGGGTTCAAATGATCAGGTTAACTTTGGTCAGTCAGATGATAATGAGGTAGTTGGTTCTCCAATTAAAAAACTGATTCCTAATGGGTCTGCTTACAATATAAAATGGGTTGGAAAAAGGTTTATTCTACATTCCAATCCCTGTTCTGAAAATTCCTTGAATTTTGTTGATGAGGGAGAGGTTGGGGTGATTAAGGAGAATATGTAGGGGGAGATGGAAGTGGTTCCAAGTGAACAGGGTGTTGAATTGGAGATAGTTCAGTCTGCTGACCAGATGAGTCTGGATGGAGATCATGTATGTAGCTTTCAGACCCATAAGTATGCAGAAAGGGATATAAGGTCAGAAGATCAAGTAGATGGACTAAACAAGATGAAGAAGGTTATGGAGGATAAGCAATGCAGTCAAAATGAGGGAAGTGTATCAATTCCAAGTGCAAGGATCAGGAATTATGAGAATCACGAGGGAAGTACTTCAAAACTGATGAGGGTGGGTCAAATTTTAGCAAAGGAGGATCACCCAGTTCCAGTTATCAATCATGTGAAATGTAGTTCTCAATCTAAAAGTCCTAAGAATCAAAGGATACTCCCTACCCAAAAAGAAGATGAATCAGAGGATATTGAGAATAGTTCCACATCACTCAGGGAGTGTGTGCTCAGATAGTGAAGTGGCTGTCAATTTTTATAACAGAGTCTATAGTAGGGTTGTTAGAAGGATGGTCAGGGATTCGGTGGATCAAGATAGGGAGTCATCTCAGTCTTCTCAACTTTCAGTTAAAGCTAGGAACGAGGCTGCTGCAACTAGAGAGATCTGCGATTTATTGGGAATTACTTTTAAAGGGGGTCAGCATCTATTAGAGGAAGAGATTTTTAAGATGGAGATGAAGGGGTCTTCCCGGGAAGTATTATTGTTTTTGGTTTGTGTTGGTATGTATGACAGTTATTTTTAATGTCAAAGATTAAAATAATAACATGGAACATTAGGGGTTTAGGAAGAAGAGAAAAAACCAGAGCAGTGGCCAGACTCGTTAATAGAGATAAGCCGGTTATTCTTTTAATACAGGAGACAAAGCTGAATGTTTTCCATTCAGGTCTATGGAGGAAGTTAGGGGCTAATCTTTTGAAAGGTGGTAGCTTTAATCCTGCCGAGGGATCGACTGGTGGACAGTTATTTATGTGGGATGAAAATATTTTTGAGGTCACAACAGAACATATCCAGAACAGATTCATGGCGTTGTCAGGGAAGTTCAAGTTGCTTAACTTTGAGTGTGTTATCATAAATGTATATGGTCCATCAGTAGAGGCGGAAAAAGAGGAGTTTTTCAGGGAATTGTTGTGCTTTGTTCAAGGTCTAAATCAGTCAGTTTGTATAGGGGGAGATTTTAATGCATATTTAGATACCGAGGAGAAATGTGGAGTATCTTAAAATTGGCATTGCATGGATTTGTTTAGATCCTTTGTACAACACACTAATCTTATGGATCTTCAGTTAGTTGGTGGAAGATTTGTTAGCAGAAGAATGCAACAATTGGGGACCGAAGCCTTTTAGATTTTACAATTACCTGTTAGAGGAAGACGTGTTTACTGGATTGGTTGAAAAGTCTTTGTCTAACCCTATAATGGACAATGATAGAATGAGTTTGTTTTCTTTACTTCGAGGAACAAAACAGTAGATCAAGAGGTGGCCTAATAGGAATTTGAGTGGGATATCTGAAGGGATTTCAGAATTAGAAGGTAAGATTAATGGTTTAGGGTGAAGGACAAGCTAAGAAACGGATCCATTGGATAAATTGGAATATGGTGTGTCAACCTTATGACGAGGGTGGCTTGGGAATATTGGACCCGAGACTGGTTAACAGAGTATTGCTTGGGAAATGGGTCTGGAAGTATGCAAACGAGAAAGAAGCTCAGTGGAAAAAATTATTGTGTTGCAAGCTTAATGTCAGTAATTTATCCTTATCAATATGCAATGCCGTTTCTCCTATAGACTCTTGGATTTGGAGAGGTATTTTGA